CCCCAAAACCCCAAAACCCCAAAACCCCATGAATTAAGATAATAATTTTCACAATTAAAGAATGAAGATAAATAAATTAAAAAAATAAGCAATTTTAATAATCGATAGCAATCAGGAAAATTACTAATAAAGTTATGATTTCAACTAATGAGAGTAATATGAAAGGTTCAATCTCTCATTAGAGTATGGTTGTGCCTTCTACCCAGAAGTTGCCCCCTCTCTATAAAAAATCAGTTCTGAATCCAGACACGAATAATCGGAAGTCTCGAAACCATTAGCTCAACCTACCTAATGAAACTTTGCAATACTCACAAGGTGAGCCACTCTACCAAACTCTACCCTCTGCCGAAATAGAATATATTAATAAGAGCAGAATAGAAGTCCCAAAAAAGAAGACTATGCTTGAACAGTTCAAGAATTACTAGAACTCTTATGATGTGGAAGAATTTTCAAAATCGTTTTGCGATGCAGATTATAGAAATTCACTTTCAAAGCTTATTCATTACAATATAACTCCATCTAATAATAGTCGTATGCAATAAAACCTTATATCAGCCGAAGGCTAATTAAGGTAGTAAATGAGTTAACAAAAATTAGGGACTAGTGTTTAGTCTCCATAAAATCAGTTAGGCATAAGCTATACGTACTGTTCTCCACTAGGAATTAAAATAGATGCAAGTGATGTTCTAAACTTTGACTACAATATATTTTACAATGAAATCAAATCCAAATAAGCTCATTCGAATTACTCACAGTCGCCTTAGAGGAGGTAGACTGGTATGAATAGAAATATGGAGTAAAACTAGTTGACTGACAGTCACTCTTAAATTCCTTAGAATAATCAAGATATTAAATTCAATTAAGATATCTCTACGGATGGAATCGTAAATTATAAATTAATGGCTTCAAATGGATATAAAAAAGTACAGCTACATAATACATTACAAAACAAGCAGTTATGAAATACAGGTCAGTGGAGTTTAATGCAGAATTCGATTAACGTATCGAAATTAGACTAATTGATCTAGGATAATAAACAGAGACATAAATAGTATATCATTCAGTAACTTCGAAGAAGTAGCTAGCAGACACCAAGATCCTCTTCGAAAGTAAATATCAACACCTATTAATAGCAATACCTAAGGTAGAGTTAGAATTCTACAATGGGAGCAAATAAAATTGCTTCCAATGATGAAGCTTTCATGCGTCTGAGTAAAGGAAACGGTATTTATATTACCACTACACCGAAAAAGAGAAGTTAGTTTCTCAATAAGAACCTAGCTGACTTGAAAAATACCGATAATGATTAAATTGAATCTCCTGGCTTGATGAAATCTGATACTATAACAAGCTAAAAGCTGAATCAACTGGCATCGCCAAAGTAGAAGATAATGAAGATCTTAAAGCACACCTTGAAGCCATTACATATGAGTAAGCCCTCAGAGACTTTCAATAGAACAATTTTAAAGGCATCTGAACTCATTTCTTCGAAGGTTATCAGATCTTCGTAAAATAACTTCGAAGATCATAAAGATGCTTCAATAATAAGCAGTCGTACAAGGAAAAAGAGATTGACCAATGAACATATTAAAACACTACCAAGTGAATAGATAGCAGGAAGCAAGAACAAAATAATCAGTGTATCTAATCTTATGACATCTCCAGAGTTTGGCAAAAATGAAAAGAATGCTATATTAACAAGAACACTATCAAATAATCCAAGAAAGAATATGGTTTAAAAATCAAATGTGGAATTGTTGCATAGAAATAACTCTAACGATAGTAATGAATCAAGCCTTTAACTTTAGAAAAAATTTACCCCTGCTGCAAACCTTATCAATAATTCTGTAGAAAATAGATAGTCTCCAACTAAACTTACCTTGCTACAGAATAAATCACCAGGTCCACCCGAGTAAACTTAAGTGAAATACATGCTTACCAAATCAATATTGAATAACTCAAATATTTTAAGCAGAATTAATTCTAAGATAAACGCAGTAAAACAACTTGGTTAACTCACACAATAAGTAGGAACTCCTAAAAAAGGGATTCTCAAAGCCTCAAATCAAACCTAAACAACTACAAGCTTAAATTCAGTTCTTAATACTTAGCTAAACAAAACTTAAGCAAAGCCAAACCTAAATGATAGAATAGTAATTAGTGCTTTTTCATCAGATGAATAAAATTCAAAAACACCTAAAAATGGAGGGATTCTTGGCGAAGCTTTAAATGAACCTAAGAAAATAACTGATGAAGAAGTAGCTTCTTAAAAAAGTACTATATCGAAAGGAATGTAAAATATAGCTTTTGCTTTACTAAAGGTTAAGCAGGCAAAAGATGAAGCTTAAAAAAGAATAGCTGAGAGAAAAAAAATAGAGGAGGAAGAATAAAAACGGGAGGCAAGAGCTTAATAAAGAAAGTTAGAAAATAAGCATAAAAAGAGTACAGAGGAAATAATGATTACGAATGAAGCTGAGGATGATGAAAGTTTAGCAATTAAAAGGGATATATTTTCTAAGCATAAAATGAAGGGTAATCAACTTTAACAAGTATCCTCATAGCAATTTCTTACTGCTAATTACAATCAAGCAAAAAAGAAAAAAAGTAATAATTTGCTGTAGAGAGCTAATGATATAAAGCCTATAGAATTAAAGACTCGCAACTATAAGGATTTCTTTGAAGAGGATCCAATCTTCAAAGAGGAAACTGTAAAGGATAAAGTGCGTCAGCGTCGGAATATCAAGTTCATGCAGATTTTGCAATAGAGACGAGAAAAATTTGAACATCAGTAAAAGCATCCTATTTTTGGTGGCTTTGATCCAAACAAAGGGAAAATGAGTAAGAAGACCTACAAGATAAAGATGAATATTTAGAAACTAGACTTGAATTAGCCTATTAGGAGATCTAGCATAGACAATTAGAGCATTAATCTAGATTAAATATTATCCTACTAAAAAGCGTCAAATAAGAACAACAAGACCAGTGAGGAGAGTCAAAGCCAGGATCAATCGGCGAATTGAAATATTTCTTTAGATGGATGATTGACTGCCAGTTAATATTGAGCCCATATTTACTTACCTAAGTCAGCTTGTTAGAGTGCATTCCAGAGTTGAGAATAAATATGGTTTTTGGAGTAATGAGTGTATGTGTGAGTGTATCCATAGTCATGTAAAAACTAATAAATTAATGATTGTGGATTAATGTAGACAATAATTATTTATATTTTATTAATTCTATTAATTTTCTCTTATCTTTACCTATCGCCTGACGGGGTTTTGGGGTTTTGGGGTTTTGGGG